GTGTTTGATTTATAAGTCGATCAATAAAGCAGAATTTAAAAGATACAAGAAGTAGTATAAGGGGTCTAGATGGCGAGGTCAACTGAGTGCACTTTTTATGCAAATGAGGTTCAAAAAAAAAAAAAAAAATGGGTCAACTGAGTGGAGTGCTAACCCTAACCCCCTAACCCCCTAACCCTAACCCTAGCCCTAACCCTAACTAACCCTAACCCTAACCCTAACTAACCCTAACCCCCTACCCTAACTAACCCTATCCCCTTTAGCCCTAACTAACCCTAACCCTAACTAACCCTAACCCTAACCCTAACCCCCTAGCCCTAACTAACCCTATCCCCTTAGCCCTAACTAACCCTAACCCCCCTAACTAACCCTAACCCCTTTTTAAAAACCCTATCCTATTCCCTTAAATATGGGGTGTGTTTACATTGGTACGTTGGTATTACGTTTTTGTTTATGCTGAGTATACTGGTAAATGCGCCGTGTGCAAAAAACATTTCAAGAATGTGATTATGACGTCACCCATTCACAGTCTAGACAGTCCTATAACCGGTTCAAACTGGTTTTAGTGAAAACAAGAACACACACAATACAGATTAGAACACAGATTTTATTCAAGTGAAAATATACATACAATTACATTTTCTGTTTCTTCTTCTTCTGTCCCTTATCAGTGGTCAGGGATAGTTTCCTCTTGTGAGTGGTGCTGGGGCCTGGAATCTCTCTGTTTTCTTCCTTTTTCTCTTTTTTGTCTCCTTTTTTCACTAAAGGTTTGGTCTGGTGGGTCCCCGAAATCTTGGGTTCTTGATGCTTTTTCTCCAGTTTTTGTATTTCTTTCACTAACTGGTATGTCTTCCTTCCTTGTTGGCGAATCTTTTCCATCACTTCTTTTCTAAAATCACCTATATCATTATGAATTATCTGCATGATAAAAGCCATTTGATTTAAGATACCGCATATCATTCTACTGTCATCTACATCTAAAAGATCCTGTGTTTCTGGTACTGTCTCCTTTGTATTTTCCTCTGCCATATTTTACCTGTGTTGAATTCAGAATGCTAACGAAGAATGATCCTCGATGTCCAGCTCTGGTTTATATACCTTTACTGTAAGGCCCGTGTGCAAAAAATACGTTTTACCTACGTTTTCTTATATTTACCTGTTTGCATCCTCTATAAAGTGCCGGGTGCAAAAAACTGAGGGTCGTGTGCAAAAGAAATATACCTTTTACCTGTGTTTTCTTATATATATACCTGTTTGCATCCTCTGTAAAGTGCCGTGTGCAAAAACTTACCTATGCATTGTGACGTCATCCACTGTATAAATACAATGTGATTATGACCTCACACTTTTTCATTTACAGTCTAGACAGCCTATAGCCTCCCAGGTAGCACAACAACGTTATTAAAACGTTATAAAAACGTTTTCAAAATGTTATAAAAACATTTTCTAAAACGTTATTACAACGTTATTTTGTATGGTTTTTTAAACGTTATCATAACGTTTTTCAAAAACATTGTCATGCAATGTTTTGAAAACATTTGTGAAAACGTTTTCAAAACATTTTTAACAACGTTTTCAGAACATTTCTAACATGTTTTAAAGGATTAAAAAAAATTCTACAACAAAAAATTATTGTAATGCCTACAGTTTTATTTTGTTGAAACTATTTCACAAATGTAATCCATGAACTCTTTTTTACATCCACACAGTCAATAACAGTCTTCTTAACAGAGAAGATTTGTGGTTTAAACTATATATTTCACAAATGTAATCAATGAACTCTTTTTTACATCCACCCAGTCAATAACAGTCTTCTTAACAGAGAAGATTTGACACAATTGAAATTAGGAAAAAAAATCACAATATCCTTCCTCCTTTGAAAATCATCTGTTTGGCACTTGGACTTCTTTGTTTTCTTCTGAAAAATAAAAATATTGAGAATAACTTTAGAAGATTTAAAAACTATAAATTGTCACAAATCCGATAAATGCAAGGAAAGTGTGTATGTTTTTGGCAACAGTTCTGTAAAAATATATACTAAATAAATCTATCTCCGTAATAAATTCTTGTCTGGAAACTTCAAACATACCTTAATGAATTAAACTCCGGTAAATCCCTCCAGGACGGTGTGTAGCAAACCTCATTTTGCCTAATTCCTCTCATTAATGTAATCTTTAAAGAGGTACCAAATAATATTTAGTCTTTGCAAACAGCTTCTGTAAATGAAAAATGATCGATATTTATTTTAAGAATTGTAAATTGAAAAATATATACATGACACTGTATATAAATACAAATCATTTTACATTTCCGAAGAAGTATTTAACTAACTCGTAACCCCTCCCCCCTCCCACACACACACAATCAACCTACTCGCTCTATTTAAATCATGTTTTGAAGCTTTCAATTTGAAAATCTATCTCTAAGCCTGGATTGATTATACTAAAGTACACATTAATAAAGAAAACTCACACTAGACACAAGTCATAATACGGATGTAAATGCACAATCATGATTAACTTCAATGATCAGTTTACTTCAAAAACAACCAATTAACCGCCTTCAAATATCCAGGGTATATACAATCATTTACAAGGAATGATTTAGGCTTATACAAACACATGCAGCTATAATACTATTTCTTAATACACGTATACACAATGAATACAACTTTAAATTCAACATACCATACGGTGATGTAAAATATTCCCTAAATCCTGTTCTTTGTCTTTCAAGAATGCTGCCCGGTTTTTCAAAATCTTGATAAGTTGACCTATTTAGATCACGTGGAAATAGTTTGCAGCAAGGAGCGGTTTCATCAGCACTGACCACGGCATCCCGCTGTGTCACTCAATTAACTTTTGATAAACGCATTATCCAGGAGGAAATAACATAAGTGAATAAATGCACAGCAGTACTTTGTTGAACTACATCACATCTTAGAAAAAATACTTTAAAAAGGCTTTTTATACATTTTTTCACAATGTGTTTTTTTTAGGAAATCAATGTGGCATATAAAACAATTAAAAAAGAACTGAATAAAAAAAACCACATTTTTGTTTAAATTTATTTTTACTTAATATGCTTTAAAAGATATCACCTAGTAATTAATTACAACAAATAAAAGAGTAAATGCTAAATGTATATTTTTCAAGAATTGAAATATAGAGATGTTTGTTGTTTCTATAACGTTTTAACAATGTTTTCCAAACATTTTAAAACAATGTTATATTCATGTTTTCTGGTATCATTTGTAATCAAAATTTATAATAAATTTCATTCAATATAAAAAATGAATATTCTTAAAATTTGAGTCAACGTACACAACACACTGTTTATACTCTTAATATCATATTATGAGTTTTTAGAATAGTTTTTCCCAAACAATGGAATGTGAAAACATTTTTTATAATGCTTTTCAAGCAATAAAAAAAATTATTCTTATTATCATTATGAAAATGTTATGCAAAAATGTTTTCTAAAAACTTCCTTCCAACCAGTATTAAACGTTGTGAAAAACATTTTAAAAATGTTTTTGAGAAACGTTTTCTAAAAACGTCATTATAACCTAGATAAAACGTTATAAAAACATTTTTCAAACGTTATGTCAAAAACGTTTTGTAATAACATCCTTACAACCGGAATATAATGTTATGAAAACGTTTTGTGCTACCTGGGCTAGCCAGCCTAACCAGTTTGAACTGAATTTTTTACTGAAAGACAATAATAAACACACAATACAAGAAACATTGTGTTTCTCTCAAGTTATAACACCAGGTCACTTTTTTAAAAGACTTAGAATTTCTTTTTAAATTTTTTAAACTTTTTTTTTTTAAATTAACTTATAAATTTTTTAACTTTTAACTTTTTTTAAAATAACTTAAAATTTTTTTTTTCTTATTAATTTTTTTTTTTATTGGTAAACTCCCCTTATAGTTTTTAAGAAATAAAATTAAAAAAATCATGTAATACTACATCAGTGTTATGTTATTGTATGACTTCATCTTTTATACAGTCGGGTTCGGGGTTTCGGGCAGCCATAGCGAATTTCGGCAAGATTTTACCCCAGTGAAAAAGGCTTGTAATCCACAGTGTAGGTCGTTTAAAGTTGTTTCACATTGTTTATGATTGTGATTATGTTATCCCTCACCTATATGTTTAATGTCAGCTATGCTAAATAACCCATTTCTGTGTAATTTGAGAGAATGTTTTTGCCATGTGGTTAAAGTATGGCGTGCTATTTATGTTATCATTTAAAAAGTCGATCCTAAATAAATCTGTCTTAAAAAATACATTTTACCAATGACATTTAATATGATTGATTAGAGTATAGGTATCCATATATAAGAGATATTATTTTGCATTACATTTAAACATGTTTTTTCTGTCCTGTTTATCTGTCAATTGTTGCTTTACTTCCTTTGTAAAATGAGGTTAAATTGAGTATTACTGAATATTGTATGCTTTTTTTCAGGATCAGCTAAGATGTTGTTTCACTGGATTATTTAATTGGGCATATAATTGGACAATTCTGGTAAGTTTGTCTTTGTTTTGTTTACATTTCCTATATGAAGATCATCTTTGCATTTAATCATGATTATGTAAAGTTCTGTTTTGAATGTAAATGTACTGTATTTATCCTCATTTCATGTGATTTACACTTGTTTAGCCTGCATGTAACTCAGAGTGCATTTAATATTTCTATGATGGGTCATTCTATGATTGAATTTCAATCAGAAAAATATTCACTTAATTTTGGTAAAATACATGGTATCTTTTTACATTTCTATCCCTTTTGTCTGTAAATTATTGCTTTACTTACATTGTAAAATGAGGTTAAATGTGTATCACTGAATTGTATGATTTTTTTTCAGGATCAGTTGATATGTAATCAATCACTGGATTATTTAATGCATAGGCTAATTGGGCATATAGTTGAAAATCTCTGGTAAGTTTGTCTTGTTTTTTTAATTGTTTATACATTTCCTATGATGGTCATCTTTGCATTTAAGCATGATTATATGGTTAAATTTATTACTGTATAATACTTATGTGATCTGATATCTCTAACTTACATTCATATAAACACACCCTTATTTAACCTAAAATATATTAACCCATGATTAAGGGATCTTCAGAATATTAATAAGTCCTTTTGTATAAATTATATGATATAATTTCATAATTCATTATGTATGTTACCCATGGCCATGGAATTCAGACTTACTAAATGGTGATCAAAGAGATATTAATTAGGAATCTAATAAGAGAAAAGGAAGAATTTACAAAAGATTAATCATTAATAGCTTTTCAAAAAATTAAGTTACATGTTAATGATGCTAAAAAAAATTTTTCAATAGTCATTTACTTTTTGTTTTGATTCTAAATATGTGGGATATATGGCATACATATATTTTCATTTTCACTTTTGTTTCTTAGTAATGAGCTTTTCAAAAAATTAAGGACTACATGTTGTACTTTGATGATGCTAAAAAAGATGTATTTTTCTGTATGCAGTACTGACAGATATTAAACAAAATTGAATCTGTTGTTAATAAAAAAATCTTTTAGTGTCTAAATAATTAATTTGATATCTGAATTTCCCATTTAATATTAACATTATATCACAGGGAAAGAATACTATAATGTAGCACATCAGGATGACCAGAAAAGAAATCTTAATGACCCTCTTAACTATGTATAAAGACTGTAACCTTATAACTGATGTAAGATAATCTGATTGTGTGGAATTAAAATTCCCTGGTGTTTCTACTACCCAAGATCTTCTTATGAGTGCATGGGACTGTTGTAAACCTTCTCCTGTTTATAAAAAATATACCTTGGAGCATGACACTTTATTCATAAAAGGTACTTTCAATATCATTTCTATGAGTTTTTGTTCTTTCTTTTTAATAATCTAGTGTTATATCTCATTTAAACCCATTAATATGTATGCTTCCAAAATCTTAGATCTGTCTGTATAGTTTTTTCAGCTCTTTGAACACAAATACCCTGATTCAATCTTTTGAGGTAAACATGATAGAGACATCATAGATGATTATCAGAGTGTGTATCACAATCTTAACCATAAGGTCAATTTAAATGGTCTAAGGCACAACAAATGAAAGTGAAAACTTTTTTTTTATTAGAATACATAATTTTGTAATAAACAAATACTGGAAAAGTTACTCTCATAATAAGCCTTAATGTCCTCCAAGAATTCAGTTTGGACTTCCTCCATTAATCCTTGTATCTTCTCCAATGGTTTTGTGGGCTAAAATTCATGTGTCTTTAACAACATTTTTTTTTTTTCTGACAACTGTTTTCTCTTATTATCTATTAACTTGACTTCTTCTCTAGTCAAAGGTCTTTTATTATATAACAATTTTTTTTTTTCAACTAAGACTTTTTTTTATATTTTTCAGGATTCTCTAGTGAGGGCTTATGGAAATGATCTATGTCTACTCTCAGAATGGTGAAAGACTATCAGATTATGCAAAGACTAACAGAATATCCTCTCTTGGAACACTGAAACAAGAAAATCAAACAGGAGATGGATGGAGGATTTAAGAAGCACATAGATAAATATAATTTCCAACGAATTTAACCAGTATTATCATAAACTGTGGTTTACAGGATGACAAAGTAACAGGATTGTATCATTTTACTGTCAGACACTGACTATGGATAAGATGTACCCATTTATTAAACTGAGATCTAGTCAAATCAAGTACAATTGTATTGAAAAAATGATTTTCTGATAGCATGAACTCTTTAAAAATTAATTCTCACAGACCTCAAAGTATCTGAATGTGACTTTTATTTTTACCAATTTCTACTGAAGACTGTTTTTATGTATGAGAAGTATACATTTAAACCTTTTATTTTTCATCTTATTTCTATAACCCCCTAGAAATTACACAGATATTCAGATGCTGGATTTAATATTATTATTTAACTTTCCTGGAATGGTAAATATATTTTGTTTGTGTATGTATCATTTTTTAATTTTGAATTTAAAATTGGTCTCAATAAGACCCCCAATAAAGATGCAAGTGTCCCATAATCTGTGGTTTAATAATATCTTGAATATCTTTATCATAGCATATTCATCATACTAATTACATATTGAATGTTTTGTAGGAATACACTTTGTTGTTTAGGACACTTTGTCAAGGTCAAAGCATAAGATTATTGAGATGACTTCTTTGACAATAATTTGTAACTTACAAACTTCACATCATAAGTACACAGATGAAGAATCAATAAGATATTTCTATAGATTTTTTGGATCATTTACTCCTGGGTAAAAGTTAGTTACTAACTGAGATTACTGATTTGAATCCTGTAATGCAATAACTTAAACATTGTGTGATAACTTATAGACTTTATAAAAATTAGGTGCAAATTCTTAGGTTTAGGAAAATGTTAATCAAATGTCAAGAATGTGGATATGACTTTTATTCAAATGGTGCAGTTCAGCAACTCTGGTGATTTACATACCTTCAGTCATAAATACATGTAGATAGGTATTTGGAAGACTCCTTTAGATTTTGAAATTTTTATTTCAAAAGTATAGAATTTAAGTTTGAAAGATTTAAAATGGCAGCATATCATTTGCTTGTGAATTAAAAAAATAAATCCAAACATATACATCTTTGGATGATAATTGTAGCATTTTATCAATTCCTGGACTTCGGTCTTGATATCATCCTTTAATGTCCTTAAAATTTTAATGACTGTCTTTTAGTTTTAGTTGAATTAGTTTCTTTTCTACATGTGAAAATTACATCATCCAAAGAAGTTCTTCATCTGCATGTTATATGAAGAAGACAATTTTCATCACAGTGAAAGAGATTGTTTTGTTAAACATATTGCATTGATGCACAAATATACTTTTAGATTTTTAATAGCTAGGGTTCATATTTCTTAATATGGAATGCTTGTTTTGTTAAACATACTGTTATACTTTTAGATTTCAATTTTTTTTTGTGAACAAAGATTTCATATTGTAAAGAAAAAAAGTAAATGTACATGATGTGTAGAAAAGCATGTGTAAACCTTATGACTTTATATTTGCTGATTAATTCATTTATGAGTTTCATCTTTGTTTCAATGTAAACATTTCTAAGTAGGGCACACACCAGAAACTCTTAAAATTATTATATCAGGGTTTAACACAACAATTCCAAATGATTTTTGAACGCTTTTCATGTATCAGAAAGACAAAACAGAATGTTTGTTCACAGATGTTCCAAAGGAAAACAAACACAAAGAAATGATTTGTAATGTTCTTTATGTGATTCATGTAAAATGTATTTTAAAAGTGTACCCTAACATTTATCTTTTGCATTTATATTTTTGTAAAGAATTTCTCATAACTTTGAAAAAGTAGTCTTATTGTATAATATGGGTAGCTTAAAATCTTGTAAACTTGAAAGTTGTACATGATGTGTTACACATCTTACATATGTAACCATTTCATTTCAGGGTTTTCAGCATATATTGTAGTTTTGTCTTAAATTTGTTTACTTATGTAATCAATAATTTGCTAATACTCAAATTAGGAAATATATGAGAGAATAAACAAGAAAATCAGGTTTAAAAAATGTTTTTTACTACAAAGGGGTTAATCCATAATTAAATTCAGTCTATACATTTAAGGTATTGGTTTATGAAATAAACTTACATATGAACATTGTAAGACAATTGTAATCATTAGTTTAACCAGTTTTTTTTTTTTTTAAAATAAATAGATTCACTGTCAGCATGTTATTTCTTGTAAAATAAATGAGAAAACAATTTTATTTGAGTCAGTTTTTTTAATGTAAATAAAAAAGCATTGGAAGTTGGGAATATTTCACAAAGTTAATTAATTTATACAAAATTTGTTATACATAAGTGAATAGAATTGGGCAGCAGGCAAAGCCTATTTGAGCCCTCTTTCTAAAGAGGGTAATTGAGCATAATTCTCACTAGGATAGTTGGAATATTTTGATTTAAGCATTAAAAAAACTATTTCATATTGAAATATACAAACCATGTTTAGTCATGCAGTATATAGTTTACACTTGACAAAATGTAAACCTTATCTCTATTCAGGGTCAATCCAAAGGTCAAAAAGGAATGAAAAAAAAAATTTCTCTTTATGTATCAAACATGCAGGTATTATTGCAATAAATTCACTGTATTCATTTTTTGTTCTCTTTCTATGTATGAATAGCTCTGATTTAGGCAATCAAAGCAAATGAGTTATGTCAAATGATGAAGGTATACACAAGAAAGAAGAAATTAACATGGACAGAGAATTTTGAGTTTCCCTCAAATATGGCTACCAAGTGATGTGAAATAAAAACAAAATGTGGATTCATCTATTAGGATTGAAACTTGTACATAATATTAATGATGGACACTATGACATTAAGAATGACATGAAAGAAATAAGTTTGATTCAATTATATGAACAGCTCTTAATCCATACAGTCAAAATGGAGGAAAAAATTTTCTTTATTAGGCATAAAGTAACAAACACTCACCCAATGCATCAGAATTTTACTTTTTTGAAGAAAAGGAACCTTACTTACTTTGTTGAGTTGACATTCATATTTTTTTTTGTGTTTGACAGGTAGAGCAATGGTTTCTAACTATTATAGTGAGAACTTTTTATTTAAGAGTCATCAGATTGTTCTGATATTTTGGTTAAAATAACTGCATGACATCAAATAATTTGTTCATACAAAGGAATAAAAGATTTTCCAGGTTTCTTCTTTAGTCAGATTAAATAGTGTTCAACTAATATGTTCAAAATACATTATACAAGATAATCATCCAAGTTACACAAAGGTAAACAAATGACCTTATTATGTTTTAAGTCAAAAGGTCAAAGTGATTTAATAAAAAGTATTTATCAAGATATGAGGATTAATGTAAAATACTTATTATTTTCGGTAGGATTTGGAGACTATATATTAATTAGACTTTTCAACAAGGTTTAAGTGTTTTGTGTATTATTTAACAAATAGACTGTGTAAACTATTTAATGAAACCAATTCCAACCAAGTATATTCAAAATATAGACTAAGTGCACATTTATTAATGATTGAGAAGGGAAGATTTACTCATATTCCTAGGGAGAATAGATTTTGTTTTTGTTGTCAGATGGAGGTTGAAGATGAGTATCATTTTATTTTAAAATTATCTTGAGTACAGAAAATTGTATATTAAAAAGTATTATTGGTATAGACCTTATGTATAAACTATTTTATTATCAACT